TTTTTTTTTTTCTTCTTCTTCTTTACCGCATTAATTTCATTTATAGAAACCTAACTGGGTCTAATACTCTATTCAGGGGCACCGATACCGCAAACATTAAGAAACAAGGATTATCAGTGCCGCATCACGTTGTAGCTGTGATTTTATTTTAAGGTTTCACTCGTGTTAATGTTTAATAAAAATTCCTTGTGAACGAACTATCTACTTCTCGCTCAGATTGATTACGTTGCCTGAATTCAAGCGAATTCAAACGAGAACGAGGGTAGAAACTTGAAAGAATATTTTAGAAGGAAGTATAACAAGTCCGTGGTAGTGAAGTGATTTCAATTTGAGTTTGAACTCAAATACTGAGCTTACTTTAGTCTCTAATAATTACACAGTTATACTCAAAGGTTTCGTTCGTGAAACGTAGACGTATTGAAACACTTTTAATTACCAGCTACGAATAATTGATATTCTTTTACAATACTACAGTTTAAAAATTCTTGTAAAAATGACGATGCATTATATGTTGAAATAATTAAGCACACGTTAAATCCAAGAAATTGTTTCACCTGCCTAAACATCGTGAGAAATACTACATTTTTTCAAATTCAAATTTCCCACGAATGCACAAAGTTCCACATTCTAGTCGTAATTTTTTTTTTATGAAAACTTTGTATTGCTATAACAAGTATCACTGGATCGTTGTAGACTGATTGTGTTGAATTGAGAAATAAATTTGCAAACGATTATATAAAACTATACAAATGCATATATTACTTCTTGATCATTAAATAAATGAATTTTTGCACGAAAGTAACAAAACGTGATGTGTTTCTTTAAGAATAATAATCTATTTTTGTCGACTTCTTAATTACTTTAAAATCAAGGGAGAATATTTTGAATAACCAACGAGAAACAAAATTTAATGCTTAATTAAAAGATTATCCGATTCGTTCGTTTGCAGTGATTGTGACTGCGTTTTGTAAGTCACTTTTTGGATGATTTACATCAAATGTAATTATATACGTGGGGTTATATAGATCCTACCGCAAGTGACACTAGTGACACGCTGGAGGGTTTCTAGTGGATGTCATTCAAAACACGCGTCAACCACGTAGGGATGTTTTACGCAATGCTGACAGGGAACGTAGGACTTCCCCTACTTTCTTCATTGCGATACGACACTTTGCAAACGCTTCGACGAAGCGAAAAAAGTTCGAAATTCACGATATACTATCACGTCACGTCGCTTCGAATATTTACGTGTGGACAAAAATTCGAATCACTTTGGATAGGATTCGGTAGCTTGAAATTGTTGGAAGTCTTGGTTAGTCTTGAAAGTCTTTTTGCGGGAAATTTTATCTCTTTAATCATTTAAATTCAATTTTATCCGTAAAAATGTGAAATTTTACACTTGGTGAGTAGGCATTTCGCTATTTCGCAAAAACACCTTTAATATTTTATCTCAAGCACAATATCATTGATATGATACTTATGTAAAAAAAAAAAAAAAAAAAAAAAAAAATAGAAAGTTTGAGTTTTCATTGTAATGTGCACTTGGAAAATAAAAAAAGAAAATTTTCAATACCTGTCTGAAGTCTATCTAGGCTTCGAGAGTTTAAAAAAATTTCAAAATATTCCGAATTATATTCAATTCGAATTTTCACGATGTCCGATGTTCGATACAGCTGTGAATTTGCGAGGAATTGCCTCTTAAGTAACACTTGAATTCCTAATGCTTTCATTCGGTTCGACGGATCAACAGGGGGAGGTCCAAAGATCGACGCGATACGCCAGAAATTTTCCGCTTCCTCTGGGGTGTGTAACGTTGCATGCGCTGGATGACTTTTAGTCAACGTTCGCTGAACAGAAACAAGAAAGAACGCGGAAGAAAGACGAGGGAGAAAAAGATTACATGGGCAGGTGTACAGCGAAAAGTGGTTCTTCGCACGCGTATCCACTGTAATGAGAACCAACGTTGATTCTCTGGCCGTATTTAAGAATTTCTCTGGGTGAAAGTTCGCACAAAAGATTATTCTGTAATTGGAAATCTTGTAATCATTTAAAATACACTATCCATTACAGTATGTACTAATCAATTACCGAGTGTATTAATTCTCAAATATACAGCATAGTTAAAATGGAGTAACCGATGTAATAATTATCAAAACGTTGGGTATTTAAGTTCTGATGTTAAGTATTTTATGTTCTCTCTGATAGAAAAAAATTCAATCGATATTGAATAAATATTAAATTAAACCAACTTTAGAAAAATTAATCAATATAAAATCTAATTTGCAATGACTTTCAGCGTCCGATAATATCAATTAGAACAATACCTAGTACTTTGATATAACTATAGAAATTTGGTACTACGGAAATGAAACGTAGAATTAAATAAAAATAATTCATTGAAAAATAGCCTGTGTGTAAAGACTCTTTGTAGCCACAGTAAGAAATCGTAGTCTTTAAAATTCAAAGGATATCTCTTGATCGTGATTTATTATTCACAACAAATATTTTAGAATGGAAATTCTTTCTTGAAATTCAAAGAACAAAAAAAAAAAGAAAGAAAAAGGAAAAATAAGCTCTAGAAATGTCTACATATTTTTCCCACACGACGAAAGAATCGATATCGTGGAATCGCTGAAAAATACGAGGCACGTTTCTTTAATCCCACCTTTTTCCACGACTATTTAAACGAGGGGAATACGAGTTTGCTGTTTCAAATCTGTCGACGTGATATTATATAGATTGTCGTGTTTTCCTCGCTCACGGGATTCGTTGACGTGGTTCAGACAGCCGCTGTATGTATGCGTTTCATAAAATCTTTACGCTCGATTCTTCCACCCCGTGCATTACGTCCATTTCAAAGATCACGCAGAAAAAGTCGCGCAAAAAATCCTAACGACGACGCTCGGCTATCACGATGCAGTCTGATAGATTAATTTCACGTGAAAAAAATTTTAACTTTTTCCTCGAAAATTCATGTCTTGGACAGAGAGATTGAAGACCAGTGTAGTAGAAACTCGCTTCGATTGACAGAGAAAAATTACAATAAAAATAATTTTTACCATTTATTAT